GAAAGAGATATAAGGTTTAAAAAAGGGCGATATGAATGTAAACTATTGTGGAAATCTACTACGGAAGAATTAGGAAATAATTTTGATATCGCAAAAAAGCGGTTTGAATTTTTAAAGCAAAAATTACAGAAAACCCCAGAAATATTGCAAAAAATATAGGGGAATTATTGAACAGCAGTTACGGGAAAATATAGTCGAAAAATGCTCTAGTGAAATTTATTATAATGTATATATATTATTATAATTTATTATAACTTTCGCAGTATTATATGCCGCACCGTGCTGTAATTCGCAATTCTGAGACTACTAGTGTCCGTGTAGTTTTCGATGCTTCTTCGAAGACCGGAAACTTCAAATCCTTAAACGAATGTTTAGAAACCGGTCCAAATTTGAATCCAACTGTTCTTGACGTGATCCTGAGGTTTCATGAACCTGAAATAGCATTTTGTGGGAACATAGAAAAGGCATTTTTAATGATTAGCATTGCAGAAGAACATTTCTTTGGTTTGGGAATGATGAGAAATTATGTTATATTATGCGCATGTGTCGGGTTCCTTTCGGAACAGCGGTTAGTCCTTTTCTGGTGGCTGCTACAATAAAATATCACATCAAAGGGTATAAAGAGGACCATCCCGAGAGTTTTAAAATGCTTAATTCTTCTATTTACGTTGATGACTCATTTTATGGAGGTAAAACTGTAGAAGATGCATACCGATTGTCAGTAGATGCTGTAAATATTTTTCGCGATGCGGGTATGAATTTCAGAAAACTGAAATCGAATTCAGATTAATTAAATACATTATGGATGAAGTCAAATATTAAAGGGGAAGATGATTTCAATAAAGAAACAAAATTTTTGGGCATGATTTGGGATCCTAGTAACGATGTAATAAAATTAAACATGAAACCAGTTCAGGAGTCAATTGGAAATGGTGAAGGCGACACAAAAAGACTGATATTGAAAACTGTCACCAAAATATTTGACCCTATTGGATATTTGCAACCATTTATAGTTCGGGTTAAGATTACATTACAAGACATTTGTCTTCTGGGTTTAGAGTGCGATGCTGCGCTTCCCACATATCAGAAAATGGAACTGGTGTGCAGAAATGAAATGTTTAAAAACTCCTGAATTCCCTAGAAAATTCTTTCATAAAATCAATTACACGCAGCTGAGCGTTCACATATTTTGTGATGCGACACCTAGAGCTTTTGGAACAGTGGCATATTTTAGATACACTGATGAAAATAAGGAAATTAAAACCACTTTCATAATGGCAAAAAGTAGAATAGCTCTCCTAAAATCTTTAACCCTCCCCAGATGTGAGCAAATGGGAGCTGTTGTAGCTGCTCGCTTAGCTAAATATTTAAAACATCGTTTCACTACGTTAAGCAACAATATTATCTTATTGGAGTGACTCCCAAAATAACGCTACATTGGATAAGGAAATCACCAAATGTCAAGGAAGCCATTCGTTGGCAACCGTGTAGCAGAAATCCAGGCAATTTGCAACGCTAACCAGTGGTACCATTGCAGTAGCAAAGAAAATCCTGCAGATCTATTGTCTCGAGGGGAACGAGCTGAGATATTTAAAAATCTCCAGTTGCCACGTTGTTCGAAAAAGGAACCTTTAGTTGGTCAAATTAATACCAACACTTTGGTTTCAATTTGTTTGGAAAAATCTTTACTAAAAGACCTGAGCTTGGAAGAAAACGAAAATAAAGTACGTTAGATATCCATAGAAAAGAGAAAGATCGTTTATTAAAGATACCTAGCGAAGCTTTAAGGACACTAAGCAAAGTTCGAAACGAAAAATTGCTCGATTTTAAATCAGTTTAGTAAATTAAACCAAAGTATACCGAATAACAGCGTGGATATATAGGTTCATCAACAATTCTAACCCTAGATCCGAAAGACTTTATGGACCATTAAACACTTCTGAAATAATGAATGCAGAAAAATACTGGATTAAAAACACGCAATTTCAATACTTTGAAAAGGAAATCCTCGGTTTATCTCAAAGAAAGTCAGTTGACAAAGATTCCAATATTATTCGCTGAATCCTGAGCTCGACGAAGAGGACTTCTACGGTTATAAGGCAGAATCAATTTCAACTGTCTTAATCTGCCAAGCATCCATGGATATTTCCGATTGTCATACGTAGATCTGTTAATTTTCAACGCTGTAAATGGTATTTTTCGCGAGTGGGAAAACTGAAATCTGACGCACCTGCGTCGCGAAAACATTTTGGGTTGTGAAAGGCAGACAGCGAATTAAATCCTTGTTGAGCAGATGTCCGATTTGCAAAAGATACAGTGTTCGCCCTGGAGTTCAAGACGTAGCTCCACTTCTTCCAGATCGAATTCTTCAGTCACCACCGTTCGCTGTAACTGGATTGGATTATGCTGGACCATTTTTCACTAAAGAGAGCAACAATAAACATTACCTTTTAGTATTCACTTGTGCAGTAACGCGTGCTATTCATTTAGAACTGGTACCTTCGATGAGTACGGAAGCATTCTTATTAGCCTTTAGAAATTTATAGCACGACGAGAATTGTGTTCAATTATATACAGTGATAACGCAAAATCATTCAAATGCACAGACACTGAACTAAACAAACTGTGGACTTTTCATTTCTGATTCTTCTGTAAAGAATTTCTTCTCTTCTCGCAATATTCATTGGAAATATATAATTGAAAGAGGAGCATGGTGGGGAGGATTTTGGGAAAGAATGATCAGAACGACCGAAACAAGTCTTAGAAAAATCGTTGGCCGTTCATCGCTCTCTCTCTACAAACTGGAAACAGTGTTCGTTGAGATTGAAGCCATGATCAATTCCTGGCCCATTACTTACTTTTATGGTGAACCCACAGAACCCTCTCCACTCACTCCTGCACATTTTTTGATAGGTAGACGTTTGCTATCCCTTCCTCCAACTAGAATAACTAAGGACGATTTATCAGGATCGAGAAAATCTATTGTGAAAAAATTCAAACATAAGCAGAATATTTTGAATAATTTTTGGAAAGCTGTGAAAGGGTTATTTATAAATTAAGATCTGAAAGTGCCAAAAATCAAAGTAATGAATTAACAAAACAGGATCTTAAAAGCTACCCAGAATATGTGGTTTAGTGAATTATAGAGACTTCCTGGAAGGAGCAAAGTTGCATAACTGGCAATGGACTAATAAGAAGGCCAGTTCAACTGATTTACAATTTAGAACTCAATGTCTAAAATTAAAAAATTTACAGTATGATATTCATAAGATTGAAACTTTGTTTTTGTTTTTCATTATTGTGTTCCTTTAATTATTATGTTCTAATAGTATATTTATTCCTCTATTCTTTGTATTAATAGTTTATTCAAGAAAGCTTTGTATGGAAAACTTGTTTAGAAGATCACATGTAAAATATGGTAATTACTTTATAGCAATATGATTGATGTAAATACAAGTCATGGAAATTGGTAAGTATTGCTATAAACTCTATGTTAAGAGTTTAGGTGGGGAGTGTTGAGAAACGCCTATAGAGGGCACTGTACCCTGCCTGGCTCTTCAGTGTAGAATTGCTTAACTAATGAGTAAGAATGCTTGTAAGGGAGTCACCGGCCCTAATAATCAATGGCACAATTAATACTACGCCTTATTTCAATAATCATGTAAATAAATTTATTTGTTGTTTTGTTCAAAACTGAGCCTTTCATCACCTATTACGTACAAACTGAACCACCAAGATAATTACAAGTTTTGGATTAGTAAAAATGCCAAACCCCCTTTTTTAATGTGTAACATATTTTGTATCTCTTCAGTAATTTTTTAAGAAAAAGGAGAAAATTATTTTTGGCAGCATTGGCATCAACAGTAGTTTGGCGATTTTTTACAGCCCTTATAACAAAATTGTACTAAAATTTTTTAATAAATTTAAAAATTTAATTCTAGTACATTCTGTGGTGTCAGTAGTAATAGTTTGTAGTATATCTTATGCATATATGTAGGATGTAATGCCAGAATAAGCACAGTACTCAGTTTAGGAATATTGTTATTGTCAGAAGTTCTATAAAGTATGTATTTATTTTTTCTCTTAATTAAAAGTGATGTAATTCTAAGTAATTCTCGAATAGAATTTTTTAAATAACTTGAGCTGATTTCATCAAATTCTGTTGGTAAAATATTAATATTTTAAAAAACTTTTTACTTATTGATTTAACTCTTAACAGAGTTTCAAAATAATTTGTACACTACTAATCATAAACAACATAACCAAACATATTTTTCAATATTTTGCACATTTTAAGACAAAATTTGAGAAATATTAAAAATGTGTGTTAACAATTGCAAAGAAATGAAGTAATCTGATAGTATGTTAAAATATGTGAAATTGAACTTTCAAGATAACTGACCAAGTAAATACTAGGCAACATTTAATTATTCTCCTCTCCCAGAAAAGAAGCATTCCAATTAATGACATTTTTGGTACTTTTCCATTATGCACTTGCCAGACATTCTGGCAGTTTTATTGTAGTGTGTGTTTAATTATACTAGTTTACTCACACACATAGCTACTATATGATGCCATCATTCGGTTTCTCTTTCACAGATTCTCAAAAGCGTAGCATAACGGAAAAGTACCAGGTTTTCATTATGGTGCATATTACTTTAGATGCAAATTTTTTATGGTTCTTTCAGGAGTTGCATTTTATTTTTATTCATAAAATAAACCATTTTGTGACCAAAATTCAAATAAACCTTTACTATAGTTCATTTTAAACAATAAATTATAAATTAATTATTTTGAAATAAGAATGCACATAAATTTGTTAATCTACAGCTTAGCCTTCAAACTGATGCGCAGACAATCATCACTTTCACACCCATTCAAAACATTCTTAAAAAAATTTTGTCTCACGAATGAAAGGAAATTTACCAATTTAAATAAAATTTTCTTCCAGTTTTATGAATCCCTCAAGATAATTTTTAATTAAATACAAGTAAAATGGCTACATTTAAAAATAAAAATATATTAATTATCACAGATATCAAGGTAAAATGACTGGTACAAAAGAGACAATTTTAGACCTACAAACTGGACATAAGTTCTGAATTTTCCGAGAACAGTTTAAACATAAGCATGCATGGCCACACTCATTAATTAAAAGTTCTACAGGATATTCACTGCACACAACACACCTAGAACAATTATTATATCTGGCTTGTAATTTACGGGTACTGTCTGCCATCAATCGCAGACACCTTGCTTCTTCCATCTCTTTCAAATGTTTTGCCCGATTTATTTGTTGTTTAATTTTTATAAAGCCTCTTACTGCAGTAGAAGCAAACAAATATAAACTTACTGCACATCCGATAATGCACATACTTTTGCGAAACCTAGCTGAATCACTCACTTTCTTAGTCAGTGAGTCCAAAGTCAATGGAGTTACAAAATACTTCAACCCTGGATTAGGAGGTATTATTTTTACTTTATCTTTATCAATAATTAATTTGCCAACTGCAGTCAAAGTGGAGTTTTCCACTAGCATTCTTTCTTCAAGAACAACTGTTCCCTTTTCAAAAATATTATCTAGAATATTATCTAGAAAATCATCTAAACACAGCATTGCTTCAACAAAAGAACTTGGCAAATTCATGATAAAGTCATAAATTTTAGTAACCGTCAGTTCATCAAGTATTACTAGAAAATCATCTAAACCATGCATTGCTTCAACAAAAGAATTTGACAAATTCATGATAAAGTCATAAACTTTAGGAAACGTCAGTTCATCATACATTACTGGATTTATGAAAAAGTCATAAGTTTTAGATAACGTCAGTTCTTCAGCCATTAATGGGTCAACTATTTCTACACAAATTTGCTTCTTAAAGAAACCACTGGTTCTACCACATACAGCAAATGGCACAGTGCTCACGGAACCTTGAATGGCATTACTAAAATTAAAATAGCAAAATATTACAAAGCAAAAGAATAAGTGTTGATGATTCTAAAAACAATGAGTATATACATTAACACAAAATAGAGAAAACAGCATTAAAAATCAATCAGTAACTGAATTAACCTATTAACTTTAAATCATGTTCTTTTTAAAGGTCTGAAAATTTAAATATTAGATATGATAGTCATAAAAAACAGGCTATGATAATATTAAACATAAAGATTTTATTTTCTCTAATTATCAAAAACAGTTTTCAAGCTCAATAAGCTTAAATCACAAGATACAATAAATATAGTACTAAAATGATGCTGATATCCACAATATAGTTCATTCAACAACTAAACATTTGATATATCAATTTTCAATTTCAGAAAGCTAATACAGTACAAAGTCCGAAATCCGGACCTCAAAACCCCCAACAGCGTTTTTCGCGTAGGCTTTATGCATGCACATGTGATTCTCTCCCTCATAATAAAACATCTGGAGAGTCCCGATTCTTAATTTCACTTCGACAATAAATAAAATACCTTGTTATTGAGGAAACAATCAGTGTAGCATAAATTTGTATGATCAGTAATTTGGCTCTGTTGCTGCATAGCTATTCGGCACACATCTCAAACCAAAACATTCCACATAGATACATCACTGATTTGATGCTAACCTGGCGAATCATTATTTATTATAGTTTCCTTTCATCACCACATGTTTATTACAACATGACAACTTGAGTAATGACTCATGTAGCGATGCCTAAACAATTTTTTATGTTAATAATTGAATAATAAAGGAGTATCGTAAACTTTTATGTTGACGTTACACTTGGTGATGATTACAGATTTAAGTTAAATGCGCTAAAAACGTTGACAAGGAAAAATTTACAAAAAATTTCTTTCCATATGCTAAAAACAGATTTTGTTGATGATACTCACAGACCAAAGATTACATTTAGGGCTATTTGAATTAAGAATAATTGATTTGTTATTCACATAAACCCAGAACTAGCACCAGGGCTCGTACGGCAGCAGCGAGTTGCAGAATTTAGGACCCATGGAGGACCCATCAGGCCAGGGATAAATAGAAGGGCTAGCTCATTTCTTTGTTCGACTCCTCGCCGAGCGAGAGAGCCTAATTGGGGGACGTAAAGGCATATCTGACGTCACTGTGATGCCACCTGTCCTGATTTCACGCGTTTAAACAGTAGTTTCATTGAGCTGCGAGACGATTTCTAGAGGTTAATATCCCGATTAATTTTAATAATATATATATCTTTTTTCTAATAATGTATATTTAAAATAATTTATATATATGTAATTTTAGTCAGTTTTTATTTTAAATTCTATATTGTAAAGTATCGTTTACGTAATATGGCTTTTTGCGCTGCAGTACGTGCGTAGGACTTACAGAAGTATGAAAGGATGAGATATTTATTCATGGACCAAAGGATCCAAATGAGAGTTTGCTTTTAACGAAAGAGAATGGATACACAAATGTCAAAGAGAAGATTCTATTAATGTGAAGAGCGGAAAAATCTGCAGCGAACATTTCTATGCAGTGTTATGAAGATGATATGAAAAATCGCTTGTTTGGATAGCCACAAAAAGAAACGTTGAAATGGAATGCTGTGCCGAAAGTAAATTATGATGACAATAATAATCGAAATTGATGATGACAATAATAAATCAAATTTTGATGATTTTGAAATAAAACTCACAAATGAAATGTAGATCATCTGAATGTTTAAGGATAAACAAGAATGCATTGATAATTTGAAGAACAAATAATATCCTTAGAAAATTGTATTAAATTGTATTTAAGTATTGAAAAAATAGAGAAAAGAAAATTTTAGAATGTTTGTTCAGCGACAAAAGAAGTGGACGATCTAGACAGAAATGGTATCAGAAATTAAAATCTCATAGCGAAATTTGGGGGTGGGAGCACAAAATCGGAGAATTTGGGAAAATGTCTAAAAGTATTTTTATAAAGATGCAGATTAATGCATACTGAAAAGAAAGAAAAAAATCACGTGGATAGTGAAAATATTTACGTTGCATGTCATAAGAGCTTGTTATCTTAAAGCTATGATTTTTGGAAAAAAAAAAATAAGAAAAAAAATGGAATCTTTCCTAGTATTGTCAAAATTAAAGAAATGGTGTTATTTATTTTAGTGTTTTCTAAATTTAGTGTAGTCCAAGAATTCAAAGGATGTTCTTATCTAAAGAAGGAAAGAGGCGAATATTTGTATTCTGTAGAAAAAATGCGTCTCAGTTTCGATGAAATGCATATAGATTGAAAACTTGCTATGACTCTAAACTAAGTTGGTTCTTTTCAAAATGTGCAGTTTGTTTTAATCAGAGGTCTCATTCGCGCTTGCCTCAAATATGAGAAAAAGACCGCGTTTGATTGAAGATTTTTTTAGAAGATGTAACTGTTTTAAATTTGATATATTAAAGAGGTTTTAATAGAGATTGAGAAGAAATCAAATTGTGTCACAAACTAAAACAAATTTTAAGGTCAAGGGAACGAGAGACAAAAGTCGCTCCAAGAAAACATTATTTTCAAAAAGTACCGCAAAGGTATACTCTACCACACAGGAAATCAGAAAGCATCTGATTTCTACGAGTTAATCGATAATATCTTCGGTATTATGAATTTACCAAAATAGCACAACAAGAATAACAAGTATTTAACAAACTATTTGTTAAGTACTTGTTAAAGTTTTTCTTATTGCATCCTGTAACTAATTATGATTAGATTTTGTACTAGATTAGCATTCTAGATAAAATAAAGTATAAACATCAAAGTAATTGGCATAAAAAGACCTGCTTCATTTTCTCACACTTTGAAAAAATAAATAACTGTTTTAGGTACTCTGAATAAAGTATTTTGTCAAAATTAAGGTAACAATCTATATACATTTATTTCATTGTAATATAATATAAGCTATAAATACACAATTATTAAAAAATATCTATTATTGAATCCGAAGAGAAGAAAAGTAAAAATTTACAAATTAGGCAAAAATCAAACGTAGGTTAGCAGAAATGTGCCATATATGTCATATATGTTAAACTACGTCAATGTAAAGTTTGTTTTTGGTAAGTTTAAATAGCTGCTATTATAGTTATCTTAGAGTTATAAATTCTCTCAGGGATGCAAATAAAAAAATAAAAAAACTGCAAATGAAAATAAAAAAAATCACGGAACTTATGTTAAAAGAGTAGCACATTTTATCTATTATTTTAAAATGAGTAAGCATTATTAAATATTTTAATGGTTCAATCTAAAATGCATAAAGCCGTCATTGCCTCTTCCAAATAGCTATCTTTCACCACAGCTCATTTTAAAGTGGTTCAAAAATGCTAATTTCCAAGCTGTGAATTATATTGGCGCGCTAAGTGTCATCAGGCTACGTATCACTTCTCACTTCTGCTTCAGGGGGAAAAGCTCTATGAGCTAGCCCTTCTTTTCTAAGTCCTGGCATCAGGCAGTAAAATATTTAGCACTGGCCCTCAATAAGGCTTAAGTATATGTGGGAATTTATTTATTCAGAACTCTGATAAGCCTTAAGCATATGCAGGAAATAGACATAAATATAATAAATAACTAAACTAATACAATTCAGGCTTAATTGTCTCAATGCACGATAGAAGTAGGATAAAATTTAATAGAACAACTTGTTAGAAACCAAGCTCATGATGCATAGCTAAATTTGATGATGACAGCCGTTAATTTTAAAGGTTTTCGGATATCGCAAAAAAAAAAAAGGTGAAATTTTCCAATTAACAGATTTTGTAAAGAAATGTGGAGAAGCAGTAATAAATGAAAATGATATAAATTAAGTTTTTCATTGTGATGACAATGCTTCTCAATCATAATTAATTAATGAATGGCAAAATCTGTAGTATGGTTCTAAACCCAGAAAATGCCGCTACCGATAGTGAAGAAAGTGACAGAGAAGTTACTGAAAACGAGAAAATTTCGATTGACAAGTTAGTTGGAATTCTCGAAACAGCAGTTACAGGACTTCGACAATGTAACTCAACAAGAGATTATGTCTGTCTACAGAATTAAAGAGAAAGTATTAGCACAAAAAACAAAGCAACTTAAAACAACTTACATTGAAAGAAATGTTTAATAAGGTAAACAAATAAATATTAAGCTTTTTTTTTTTTGTAAATTTTGATACCCTTTAGATCATAAATACTTCATTGTTTCATAAATCACGATTTCATATTTTAAATTTTATAATTTCTACATGCCATCTTACTAGATTTAAATTGATGATTTAATATCCAGAAAAATTCCAAATCCAGAATCGCCGAAGTTCCGATGAGTCCGGATTTCGGACTTTGTATTGTATTAATATTACAATTCTCACTCGTTATCTGATTTAGCACGAATTAATTAAAGTGGACACAATTTAAACCTGAATTACAAGCTAAGCATTAAAATCTTTCTATTTCAAAGTATGCATTATCATCTTAATCCTTCAAAATGGTAAAAAAAAAAAAAAAAAAAAAAAAAAAAAGTTATAAACTTATTTATGCAAGAACTACTTGATGGGAATTTCAGTTTTAAATTTATCAAAAAAGTTAAAGTTAATCTAACTGCAATAAGAATTAAATGGCAAGTTATTGGTTTAATATCTAAAAGGAAACAGGATAAAATATTTACGGGTGCACCTTGGCGAAAATTCGTGTTTTCTGGGCGGTACATGGATACAGACTTTGTGCAATTAATTCTTTGACTTGTTATTTTGGCTTTGTGTATCGGCGTTTTGACTAAACAAAGCCAAAATAGCCAAAGAATCGCACAAACTTGGTATCCATGTACACATCGATCGATTTTCATTTAAAAAGCCAAAGGAGAAGCCAACAAAAAAAATTTTATAATCTCAAAAAACTAAATTTTAAATCAAAAATAAAATAACATAAAAAAAGAACTTCATCTTAGCACTACACAAAGGAAATATCCACTTACCTTGCTAACAAATTTTTCTATCTTCAATCACATGAAATTTCTTAACAGCATCCAAAAACTTTCTAAAATTATCTGAATTAGAATCTGTATACTAGCATTGTCACATAAATTCACAAAAATAAGAGTTAAAAATATCTTCTATTGTGCTGGATTGTCGGTGGCATTTCTTGCATGAACCTTTCTTGCAAAAAACCCATTCAAAGTTATCTGAATGATCTTTACATTTGACCATACGCATTTCCTTCGTACAAAAAGAAAACTTATAATGGCTAGCTAGTAAGTAAACCTTCATTTACACACCAGTCAATTAATGGTTTTTTCCCATTTCGTTTCAAATCGTACAGAACTTCAAATTAATCTTACTACACTTTGCCATTTCATCGTCTAAACCACAAAACAGCAGCGTACTTCCTAAGCAACACACGCAACAAGTCATTACAAATCTTTTCCCATCATTCAAATTCATCGCAATCATGCAACCAATTATGTCATAATAGGGTTTCCATAACATTCAACTACTCAGGTTACCATAAATGAAACAACAACTTGGCAATAAATGAAGCAACAACTTCACGATAATACAAGGGGCACCCTTAAATCTACTCTAACCGGAAATAGAAAACTGAATAAGACAAAATCTCTAAGGAACACAATTCTCGTTAAAAGAATGAGCAAAACCAAGGATTAATACAAATAGTTATCAATACATTCCATCAGCTTTTAATAAAACTTTCACATAATTATGTGTCATCCTAAATATGCATGTAATAGGCCTCACTGACATAGGTGGCTGTTCATGAAATGAGCAATACTATGAATACATAATTTATTAAATAAAGTATTAGTTTACAAGTATTATCACTATTTTACAAGATAATTTATGCATGCAATAAACTGGTTCTGATTACTAGCTGATCTTGGAAGAAGAGTTTGCCAGATAAAGGTAAAGCAGTGATAAAACTCTGGCCACAATTTAGCAGCCTTTCTATCACACGCACACAAGAATAAAAAATATTATAAAGAGGAAAACTATGCATGGAATAGAATGGCTTGCTTGTAAAACAAATTATATGCAGAAACTTGAAAAATTATCTTAATGATATTTTTCACATTAAAAAATTAAAATTTGCTTCAGAATTTAGTTACACAAACATTATTTTATTATATCATAAATATTTATGGTACTTATGTATTAACCTTGGCACAACTTGGTGATTTTTTACAGATGAAAAGGTAAAATTTATTTATTAGGTACAAGCTGGTGGTTTTTGTGCCTTTTTTTAGAAAGATTCTCAAACTATTGATATTTATGCTAAGTTGGTAAACATTAGCAACATATAAAAAGAAAACATATTTTAACACTTTAAAATACAAATTTGTCTTATAAAATAAGAATTATATGATATATTAAAAATAAAACACATTCTTCTTCAAATCTTTCTGTAATTTTTTTCGCTAATCTTCTCCCAAAGTACATAGCAATCTGTTTTCACTTTAAAAAAAGTCAGAGAATTCTGGTGTCTCGGCTTTCTGCAACCCTCAGCAACAATGGCTATCGAGGAAATGAATTACCTCATCGTTCCCTTTAGAAAACGTTAAGCAAAATTCTGTATTCTTGCAGAAATTTCACCGCAGTTTCTTCCATTGCTGGCAAATTCCAGAAACTTATATTTTAAAACTAAGTATAAGGCAAAACATATCATGATATGTTTATAAAAACCACTGGAACTTGGAGTTAAACAAAAAAGGGTTGATATTTACCATACAGTTCTGCTTGGTTTCTGTCTGAAAAAAAAAAATCACCAAGTGGTATTGGTTGTCTGTGAAATCTGGAAGCTTGCTGAGTGAAATACGTGTTTCGGTAACCACAATGTTGATAATGTTGGCGAAACTAGCATTGTGGAAAATTGTGTGAATATTGCCAAATGTGTTGTGATAAGTTGAGATTTTGGCTATTTTTCGTAATAGTAACCCTTTCGTATGGACCGGAGTTTTTGGTTGCACATGCTTAATGTTTTATAAAAGTGGTGCCTGAAAGGTCATCTGAAAGTTTGTCCAGGGTTATAAATGAGTATATTATTCTGGATATGACCATAATTTTTGACTGCTGGAAGGAGTATATACAATAAAAGGAACGTGAAATGGAATTAATCATGTTTCAGCCGGGAGAAAAACGAAGGACGGCTTGCACTATTATTTTTCTGAAAATATATGGTGCAAGAAGCATGGGGGGAAAAACGCATTTATGGCTTTCTTGGACGCTATCATACATATTTGTTTGTTGTAAAAAATATTTAGGCATTGCTACATGAGTCATTACTCAATTTGTCATGTGTTGATGAAAGGAAAGTATAATAAATAATGATTCGCCAGGTTGGCATCAGATCAAGGATGTATCTATGTGGAATGTTTCAATTTGAGATGTGTGCCAAGCAGATACGCAGCAAAGGAGCCAAATTACTGATCATACAATTTTATGATAAAATGATTGTTTCTTCAATAAAAAGGTATTTTATTTAGTGTCCAAGTGAAATTAAGAATTGGGACTCTCCAGATGTTTCATTATGCACAAAGGGGGGAGATTAACTGTGCATGTGTAAAGACTACGAGAAAAACGTTGGTGGTTTTGAGGTCCGAATTTTAGATCATTCCAGATAATGGACATCCGGATTTCGGACTTTGTACTAAACAAACATTTTTGGACAAGAATGAAATCTAGTCAAGCTATTTCTAAAATAGGTATTTCCAGAACTCTCTGCACATTATTATGTGATAGTTACCTCAAAACACCTTTGTGAATCATTTGTTGACAACTTGAGTGTTTAATTTAAGACTCAATTCATCATTTGATGTTTTTGTTCTGGAACTGAATAGTTTACAAAGTTCAATTGTACTGAAAATGTTGCATTGTTGTAAAAGGAAGCAACCTCCTAATACACACTAAAATTATGCATTAATATTACTACTTTTATTAGTATTTATGTCTTATTGTAACCACCTTGGTGCAATTTTGAGAATTTTATGCCAGAAAAAGAACACGTATCCTTCTGTTATCGGGATCAGATTGAGAAATGTACGTATACATATGTATGTTTCATATATCCATCCACACAAATTCTGAATATGGTCCCAATGACAGAGGAGTATGCGGGTTTTTGCAGTGATAGAAATTTCGTAGTGATCTCTTTTAGAAAAGATTCTTCTTCTTCATAAGCTCCACAGCCTGTTACAGGCCAAGGCTGTCTCTCCAAGTTTCCTCCACCTGACCCCATTTGGTGCAATAATCTTCCATCGGTTAACTTCAATTAACTTTAAATCTTGTTCAACATCTATCCATCTAGTAGGTGGTCTTCCTTTTTGTTTTACTTCCTCAGTTCTTGAAAAGGTTATCTTTTTGGTTGGAAATGCATTGTCATATCTAAACACATGGCCCAGCCATCTTTATAAAAGATTGGTTATAGTATATTTAAGGATGCTCCTTGGATTATTGCCAAGTTTTTTTTTTTTTTTTTTTTCATTTATGGTAACTTGAATAGTTGAATATTATGAAAAGCCTATTATAACGTAATTGGTTGCATGATTGCAGTGAATTTGAATGATGGGAAAAGATTTATAAGTTGTGTTGGATGTTGGTTATTTTGTGGTTTTGCACGATAAGATGGCTGAATGTAGTAAAAATAATTTGACGTTTCTGTACAATTTGGAATGAAGGGGAAAAAAACATTAACTGTAATGTAAATAACTAGTATGGTAAAAGTTTACTTAGTAGCATTTATAAGTGTCCTATCTGTATGAAGGAAATGTATTTGTATGAAGGTCATATGTCGGAGGGTACCAGCACTACGGAGGTTATTTTTGTGAATTTATGTGGCGATGCCAGTATACAGATCCTAGTTCAAATAGTTTTATAACGTTTTTGGATGCTGTTAAGGAATTTCATTAGACCAAAGACACGAAAATTTCTAAATAAGGTAAGTGAATATTTCCTTTGTGTAGTGCTAAGATGAATTTCTTTTTTTATGTTATTTTTGTTTAAAATATAGCTTATCAAGATTATATATTTTTTGTTTGGCTCTAGTGTAGAACTCTCTGCTCCTTTGACTTTTTAAGTGAAAATAGATCAATGTGTACATGGGCAAAGTCGAGGGAGTGCACAATGCCTCGTTTGTGCAATTCCCTGATGTTTTATTAAGTGAAAATAGGTCGATGTGTACATGGATACAGAGCTTGTGTAATTTTTTAACTTGTCATTTTGGATCTGTGTAGTGGTGATCTTTGGCGCAAGAATCGCCACTACTGAAAGCTACTGAAAGCTAAAATAACAAGTCAAAGAAATGCACAAACTCGGTGTTCATGTACCACCAAAAATTGCCAAGAGGCACCCGCAAATATATTTTTACCAAAAGATTTGGACCATTATTCCTTTAGTGGTTTTGCGGCAAAAAACTGTTTTCCTGCAGAAGTTTCACCCGTATTTCTTCTATTATAGAAAAATCCTTCAAGAAAGAATTTTCAGATTGCATTCAAGGCAAAAAATAATCAAAATTTTTCTATAAAAGCCACTGGAACTTGCAACACAGCAAAAAGAATCTACACAAAAAAGGTGATGTTGGAAACTGAATATTTGTCAGAGTGTTGACATATTCTGAAACTTCAGCTACTTCTGTTAAGGTATTTTTGATAATATGCAAGTATCCTGTTATTTATCTCCCAATTTACATCAACAAAACATTTGCATAAATCTTTTAAGAATGTAACAGTAAAATTTCATAATATGTTCCTCTGCAAAGAGCCTTTATTAAATTTCTTAAGTTCTAAAACTTTTTTGGAAATGCAATTTTCCTGGTTAACATGGGGAAATTAGCCATTGACAAATACAAAAATGCTCTCAACAGGTTCTTTGCAACCTGTTGAGAGCATGTATTCTTATTATCACTGTCAATGTCCTTTCAAAGCTCTCTTAAAACATAAAGCCTATGGTGGAAGCTAGGTTGAACTGAGTATTTAAATGTCACTAACTGTTACCAAGGGCTAAAATTTTAACCTGATTGCACATTACTTAACCCTTTGACGTGCGCGATATTATTTTTATAATTTTTTTAACTAAAAACTCTAGAAATTGAATATTATGATCCTACAGACAAATAATATATGAATTTAAAAAAATCTACTCTTGCCCATTGTTCTGTGGGTGGTGGTCGCACTGTGAAACCACCGCGCATCTAGGACTTGAAACTTAACCGAGGTAAGCAGGAAAAAAAAACTTACCTTTCTCCGTGCGCGTTTCCAATAAATGACGAAATTTATGAATTTAAAACAAAATGCATGTAGGAATTGCATAATATATAATATATACATTTTTTACATTATTTTACAAAGTAAATCATCAGAAAAAGTTTAAAAATAAACATTTATGTAATTTTTCTGTAGCAGTCAAAGTACCTACATAATAAGGATGTTT